GCCGAGCCGAGCCGAGCCGAGCCGAGTTTTAGTAGTTGCCCAAAAACGAGACGGACCTCACCTTTGCTCGCTGTTGAATACATTGTATGCGACCACAATAACTAAAACACAGTTGCCATAAACAACTGGACAAATGCGATCACAATATTCGAGCGCTTATAGCTCTTATTTTCTTGGTAGATAGGCGGCACTATATTCTGGAAGCTTCGATCCGCGAACAAACATCTACTCGCTTTTAAAGCAGCAATTTTATCACAGAATCACACAAGTAAAACTGCTGAATTAATGATGGCTGATAATGTGAAGTAACAGAGCTCGGATGAAAGTGAATTCGAATATCACGTACCAATGAAACACCCAGTTTTGAAAATAGCACAAGAAAAGAGTGAAAGATTGCAATAATAGCAAATTTACAGAATGGCAAACACACAGCACTGCTGACGACTTGTACAGCGAGCAATTAAATGAATTGAAAAAAGTTATTTCTTTGTCAAGACTACCAATGCGGCTGGATATTTAATGTTAGAACTCGATCAGATATTGGACATTCAGAGCGATGTTTTCGATTTTTAGAGCCGATTGAAAATGGCTAGCCGTCAAAAAAAAAAAAAAAATCCCGCCAACGAAAGACTGCTTATGAGGATGATTCTGCATAACGGTAAGCCCTTAGCTACTGCTACTGTAATTAAAGCTGCCTCTCAAGCTAAACAGGCATTTCAAGCAGTTCGGATAAGAAACACCACGGTTATGGTGACACCAAAACAAATTCGATCCGACGTTAAAGGGACGCATCTCACGCTGGACGCAGAGCTGTGTCGAACCCTTCAATCCTGAGCTGAATGACCTTGGGGGTGCCCCCGGTCGATGCGCGGAAAACTATATCTCCCAGAATGCTGCTTATACCGATCAAAATCAGGACGTATGTCTCGCGGTTAGGAATTTTCGGAGTTCTAGTGCTAAAAGGATGAGATCAGTTTCTACCCCATGTTTCAAAAATTTGCTCGCTGTCACACTTTTCTCAATTTATAAACTTGGAATTCATATCATTTCGCCGTACTACTACCAGCTGCATAATGCACTGAGATTTCCAAAGAAAAACATTTCAAAAGATACCGAAACCAGGAGAAAAAACAGAGACGCAGACAACAATCGCCCACCACAAAGCAATCCACGATGCTGTACACTGACGAATTTTTGCCCCCTAAATCCGCACATCTGCTGTGGACAATTACAAACGCCGAAACAGAACAACCTAAACAAAATGCCTATACAAATTACCTGTCCAGAAAACATTACTGAATGAAATATAACAGAAGTCCATAAGAATCTGTCTAAATACAGCAGACCGAAAGGTCTAACCGTTATGAAGTACCACTAAGCCTCCAAAGAAAAAACAAACAAAATAGGAGTCCGAAGGAAACTGAAACCAAAAAGTCGCTGAAAATAAAAAACTGATTTATGTCAACAAAGACTGCCACAGGCAAAGTCCTTACTCAACCCTTTCTCACCCTCAAGAAAAAAGTGAACTTTTTCTTCTTATAAATATAAGACAATTATCAACCTGTTATTCTTCTGGATAAAGATGGATATTAACACAGAAAAGGAGTTAACGGGAAGCACTACTTCTTTACTATAAGCAGCAATTCATATAAGCAGCGCACCTAAAACTTTAGAAAAATCTCATACAAATGACACAAATAAAGACTCTATCGCAATTAATATATACCACATGCACACTACACACAAGCATTTGGCGTTTTTGCTTGAACTTATCATCAGCAATAATTACTCTCGACCAATTTTTACTTAATCTTAGTATGGTTTACTAAATCTGTCTATCAATCATAAATGTATAAGTTTCCGTTGCAACTGACCTTTACGAGAAACTTGCGGTTTGCCCTTGCTCCGCAAAGCTAGCCAATTCAACCGGCCCTTTGCTAATTTTTTTTTTTCAGCTGCTGCTTCTGAATGAATGCAAGAAATAAACAGGCATTTGAGCTGATATCTGCCTAAGGCACGAAACTAACCTAATATTTGTTTAGCATTTCAGCTTCCCTGGTCGAGTGCTGAAGATGTACATGCCGAAGGGGAGAAAGAGGAGGAGGAGGAAGGGGAAGAGCAGCTATGAAAAGCCTGCAAAATGCTCTCAATAGCAGCCATATTAATGCGCGGCTTTTTCGCATCGCAAACTTCTAAATTAGCAGTCGTATCCAGTTCATCGTTGTGTTCCTCTGATGATTCTGATGCAACCATTGATAAATTTGATGTCTTCGCTGGCAGTACTGTACTTTCCGGCACTGTTGTAGTTGCGCCTCCATCACCTTCCGTACAGTAGGTGATGTTCCGCGGCGAGAGAGTTCGCTGAGACGCACCGTTATGTACCATAGATGATCTTAAGCCCAATTCAGGTACTTTTGGAATTGGCAAATCCAGGACACGTTTACGCAAGCAAGGCATCTGAAAAAATAAAAATGTGTTGTGCCATTCAAAAAAGAGAACAGGAAAACTGTCTGAAAATGCAAGCAGTAACGCAGTCTTGAGAATAGCATTTGTGCACAGTTATCAGTAACTACATTCCACATCCGCAAATCCTGGCTCCATCTGACTGTCAGTTCTCAACTATGATAATAAGCATAGCTATGCTAATTCAATAAAAGCTATAAATTCTTTTGTGTGCGATAGCGACAGTCGCATCCTCATCGTGTGTGGTTTATGTCCAACAAATCTGCTCCAACACCGTACTTTGCTCCCACAGTTGCGAAACATCACATAGTCGTCTTCTCGTTTTCACGTGTTTTTGCTGTGCAGCGCTGTAGCGAGCAAAAACGCATATTGTCGAGGTCGTCTGCATGTGTGTATGTGTGTGTGTGTGTGTGTTTGTATTTATGTGTATGCATGTGTGTTCGGAAGCGAGTGAGCTTTGTCACCTATTTTCATGCGTTTTTTGCAGCTATGCAATGCGAAAAACGCATATTGACGAGAGGTTGTCTGTGTGTTCGTGTGTCTGTGTGCCTGTGTGTGCGTCTGTCACGCACTTTCATCTCCGGACCTATAAAAGCTGCGATGTGTCTGTGTGTGCGCTGGGCCTCTGTATCGGTTTTTCATCTCGAGACCGGCAAAAGCTACGGAGCTGAAACTTTGGGGACTTGTGCGTCTGTGTGTGCGCAGGGCCTCTGTACCGATCTTTCACCTCGAGACCTACAAAAGCTACAGAGCTGAAATTTTAGGGACTTGATCTACAGGCACGTACGGGGCCTTATCCCAAAATGGGCGGTTTTTCCCGCGTGGTTCCCACGTAAGAGCCTGCCAAAGTCTCTTACAGATAAGCTGCTAACTCGCGAACCAGAAAAGCTAGAGAGCTGAAATTTTATGGGAATGTTCCCCGTC